AGATACAAGCGGATTAGAAGTGGAACCGAGAGGTAAAGCGGTAATTGAGGCTTGAATTTTGGCCGTGGAATCGAGGTAAGTGTTTGGTCTAACCTTAGCTTGATGGAATATGAGTTGTCTTAATTGCTACGTGTTTAGTTGTTGAGTACGACGTATAGATGTGGTGACGAGTATCTATACGTTATTGTTGGGTCATAGCATGCAAATGAGTCTTATACTTGTAGCCATTGTGTCTCTTATCACGTATTGTTCATGCTTAAGCTGGTTGCTCTTCATGTTGAACAATATATTTTCATGTTATTGGGTAATTATTGAGTATTGACTCAAGTTGAGATTTATATTGTGAATTTAATTGTTGAAACGAGATTGGTTATAGCTGATTCCCTTATCAGGATGTTATTATTTCTATTGTTTGGGTGAGGAAAAGTGTAAAACACGAAGGGTGATATCGTGCACGATATTGTGAGGGAGTGTTAATGCATGAAGGGTGATGTCGTGCCATATTTAGTAAGTGTTAATGCATGAAGGGTGGTGCCGTGCCATATTCCTGTGAGTGTTAATGCACGAAGGGTGATGAGTGTCATGATTATGAGAGAGTTAATGCACGAAGGGTGATGCCATGCCGTTTCTGTTGATTTTTATGGTGAGGATGAGAGTAAAAGCACGAAGGGTGATGAGTGTCATGATTATGAGAGAGTTAATGCACGAAGGGTGATGCCATGCCGTTTCTGTTGATTTTTATGGTGAGGATGAGAGTAAAAGCACGAAGGGTGATGTCGTGCACGCGTTACTGTGTTATCATATCTGTTGGTTCAAAGTTTAATATTTACCTTGCTTCTTTACTTTATTATTATCAGAATTTGATATTCCCCTCAAAATGTTTCCCTTTCCCGTCTTTACCTGTTAAATTTCTGTAGTTATTATTTCTCGTATATAATTTAACTGCACATGTTTATATAGTTGTCGTGTCCTAGCTTCGTCACTACTTCGCCAAGGTTAGGCTAGACACTTACCAGTACATTGAGTCGGTTGTACTGATATTACACTCTACACTTTCTGTGCAGATTTTGATGCCAGACCTCGTGACTAGAGTTGAGGTTGTTGCCTTCAGTCCATGGGAGACCCAAGGTAGATCTGCCGGCGATTCCAGACCCTGAAGTCCCCCTTTCCTCTATTTTAGTTTTTCCTATCTCTTTCTATTTTGAGAACAAATGTATTTCTTTTAAACCAATATTTGTAGAATTTCTTAGACGTTCGTGGATTGTGACACCAGATCATTGGGGCAGTCATGAATTAGAATTGTTGAACTGTTATAACACTTCTGCACCTTACCTCTGTTTGGCTTTAGCTATTATTTAATTCTGTTCTGGTTAATGATTAATGTGATAAAACTGTATTTGTCGGCTTGCCTAGCTTTCAAGTATAGGCGCTATTACGATCCCGACGGTGGAAAATCCAGGTCGTGATAATGTTCTTGGAGAGTTGAAAAATCCATCAAAAAGACTTGGTCAATAATACCTGGTGCTATTTTTTGGAGTATTTGGAATAAAAGGAACCGTAAATATTTTGATGGAATTTCAACTCCTAACCACACTCTTAAAGCCACTTGTTTAATTAACTTATTTAGTTGGTTCAATCAGGACCCTGTAATTAGTGTTGAACTATTTCTGAATTTTGTTTGCTCCTTAATTGTCCTGTAAGTTTTTGCATATGAGCAGACAATACCTTTATGTTATAATTTTTACTATGCATCTTCTTGATGCCATTTAATGAAATCCCCTTACTTCTTAAAAAAAATTCTTTTTTCTGTCTCAATTTATGTGGTGATATTTGATTCGGTACAGAGTTTAAAAAAGAAATGAAACTTTTGAAACTTTTAGTGTTGTCACGCCCCAAAATCCGAGGAGCGCGACCGGCGCTCAACCAAGTAAACCCGACTGAGCAAGCCTGTCAGGTTTCATTCTACCCAAACTAATTCATGAATAAGTATGATATGGACTCCATTAATCATACTTAGTAAGTATTTCATTAACAATTTCCATTTCATTTCCATTAGCAGCTTAAATCATAATTATCAAAATATTACAAGTTTTATAAATCTTTGCCAAACATCAATATTTCTACTTTAATTCCAACACCCGACACTACCCACAACCTGTCTACGGAGCCTCTAAACACAACTGAAGAGTAATATAATATAAAAATGCCGATAACAAGGCTCCGGCTATACCTCAAATACAAAGTACATGATGAATAGATAAAATAGGACCCCGAAACGAAGTGGGGTTCACCAAGTCAGCTGAAAGGATGATACGACACTAGCTGCGACCAACACTGCCTGCTATAGAAACACCTACATCCATTAAAGATGTAACGCCCCCGGCAAAAAGGATGTTAGTGCCATCGAATAACACTAGTATGTATAACTAAACACCATCTAGTTAGAAAGAACTATCATACAAGAACAAAGAAATCATATAGGTCGATCAAAAACTTTAACAATCACCATATCATCAAATAAAAGAATCATACAACTTCCACATCATTTTTCCATAACTTTTTAGTTTGGGGCATTCCATACTATTCATCATATGTTTCCAATACCACCGCTATCTTGAGCGGAGTCCGATCTCGACCCGATCGGCTAGATCGCCTCATTTGAGACATATGCTTCAATCACAATCTCATTTTCCTTCTTTTTCGGAATTCATTCACAATACCATCGCTATCTTGAGCGGAGTCCGATCTCAGCCCGATCAGCTAGGCCGCCTTACCAAGGCGTTGTTCCCTTATCATTAATCAATTCATTTCACATATATCATTCATAGGCACTTGGGGCCACAACTTATCACATCATACTTGGCACTAGGCCACATTTCATAACTCAATCTCTTCTTTCCCACATTTCACATCATTTCCACATATTTCACATCAATATCAATTTCAACAACAAGCCATTCAATTCAAGATGTCAAGTACACATGAGAGGAATAATGAACCATGGGCATATACAATATTTCAGAAATCATACACCTCAAGTTTATTAACAATGGAACTTTAAACACAACGGATTCTTCCAAAAAAGGAGGGGATACACCAAACCACAATAAAAACATACATCAAAAGCATAAGCAAGCAATTTCATCAAGTGTTCTTGAATTACTCTTTTCCAATCATGACAATATACAATTTCAATATCGAAGTATGTAACAACTCGGATCACATTGGATGTACTCATAAGGCAAGACATTATCTCGAACAACCACTTATGGCATAAATTGTGTATAAAGCCTTTAGGGCACTTTATTATTGAAGTCATTTATGGAAAGCAAAGTCGAGGCTCATTTCATAATCTGTTTCATATTTTCTCATGTCATAGGCATCACCAGGTACAATTATAATTCAAGTTCTCGGCACATTGGCCAAACTCTATTTCCTAAATTCATTTGATTACTTCAAACATCTCTATACATATAGGGTTTCACATAGTTTGGCATAATATATGCAGCTCCGATCTCAATTTAAGGTCTTAGCATTTCAATACATGATTCATATTCCTTGCACCCTTTTTAAGTTATCAAGAATAGCGCATTGATCATATTGGAATGCATCTTTCACAAATATAGGGTCACAACACCATTTCATGTAAAGTATCAATCAAAGCAAGAATCCAAATTTCAGTCTTACCACATTTACACAAACATCAATAGAGCTCAATTTCTAAAAGACGGGGTTTTAGCCATACATACCTTGTTTAAGCTTTCCTTAAGTTACTACAACATTCCGGAAATTCTAGCAATCCCAATCTACTTTGAGACATAACAAGATTGAACACAAATTAGGAAGGTATTCATGGTTTCAGCTCATTTGAGCATTTCATCAAATACTAGTTGTGCATCTTGATTTCAAATCTCTTTTACAAGGTTTCTTTCATTCCCCAACCCAATCTTTACTTATTTATGTTCAACAATCTTTTCACAAACCTAATTTGTACATGCATATCTACATAGTAGTATTACACCCAAGAATCATACCTCAATACCCCACCTTATACCCCAAACTCGAAATTAAAGTCTAGGGTATGGAACCTTACCTCTTAGATGAAGAACTTGTGATTGAGTTCTTTGATTCTTGAAGATTGATGCAAGATTGGATGATTGAATGTTGGGTTCCTCCTTCTCTCTCTAAAATGCTCTCATATCTCTCTAAAATCAGTAAGAAATGACCCCAAAATGAACCCCAAAGCCTATATATTAAAATAGGGCCGGGTTATAAAAATAGGAAGATTAACCCTCCGAAGTCGGGTTTGCAGAATGGACCGCAAAACATGAATGCGGGTCGCAAAATGCATCGCAGAATCGGTGCCCAAAACTGGGCTACACTGGTCCAGTTTGCGACCAGATTTGCGATCGCAGATCAAGTATGCGGACCACATAATGGTTTTTGCGATCGCAGAATTGACGCAGGATCGCATTTTTCCAGCCTTTGGTAATTTGATCATAACTTTGTGTAGGAATGTCCAAATGAAGAACGGTTTGAAGCATTTGAAACTAGACTCAAAGACCTTTCATTTGATAGGTTGTTCATCACATAAAACCTTACACATATTTAGATATGCTTGTTCAAAGTGTGCTCTTGTGCAAACTCAGTTGGAATCTTAGCCTATTATGAAATTTTCCAATGTGACTTACGCTTAGGCATTTCCTTGGGCCCCAAATTACTTACCACATGACTTGTACACTTATTTACCAAATTCAATTGATGTCCACCATGTTAATAGCACATAAAATGTTATAATTAGCCTACGTGACACCCCAAAATCCTAAATTACTTAGTGAAATTTTCTGGGGCCTTACAAGTGTAAAATAAATTATAGATACTTGTATAATTTTAAATTATTAAAATTATTAACAACGGTAATAATAGGAAGTTTAAAGTGAATTTATTAACAAAGACCGGAAGTACGACACAATTTAGAGACACGGAGTATTTGTCTGTCATTACATAACCACGCTCCTGGACCAAAACCCCCAAAACCGTACCAGTAATCTAGTTATATACTAGTACTTGATACACACTGCTACCTCTTCCTTCGTCACAAACCAAAAATAGATCACTGAATCTTGAATCTACTCCCTCTCAACCCCTATTTCCACGCCCCCATCTTCGACCATCTCTCATACTAATGGGCCCCTCTATTACACACACACACAGAGTGATAGAAGGAGCTGAATAATGGCTGAATCTGTGAATCAAAGATGATGATCACCGCCAGCAACGCTGAGCTCCCGGCGATTATATTCTCCGAATTAGATCTTTTGCACAAACCGCCTTATAATACTCGTAAACCGTCTCGTCGGAAAACGAACAACTTCGCCGCTGCCGGAGTGAAGTTGCGAGGAACTCCTAATGGGAGGAGAAGCAGGCCTGAAACTCCTCTTCTCCGCTGGAAGTTCAAGGACAATGCCTCTATAAAGGAAGAAACTTCGCCATCGGAGCTTGATCGGAAATGTAGCCGGAGTGTGGTTTCCGCTAGGAAGTTAGCTGCTGGACTGTTTAAGCAGCAGCTTCCGGAAGTCAACCACGGTCAAAACTTAGGGTTTCAGGTATTTTTCCGTAAATTAATTTTTTTATTTAGGGCTTTTGTGATTTGGCTGTTGATATATTGATTGACAGTTAACACTCGTCAAAAAAATTTGATTTTTCGAATCTAAGTAATTAGCTTGCATTTATATTACAAGGTGCATTAACTTAACATTTTGCATTTAGTCAAAGCAAAGGAGTAATAGAGAAAAGTGGAATCACTTCAGTAGTTTATTATTTCTTCCTAATTGAGATTTCTCCTTTTTAGTGCTTTTGGGTATAACTGATTGTCAATTAACACGCAGCAACAAATAAAATTTTGATTATTTGAATCTTATTGATTCTAAAATATTAGCTCACACTTACATTAGTTGCATTACTGTACACTGATTTGGCATTTTGATGAATTTGATCAAACCAATTATGTTTGAATAATTAGGTATAGTGGAGAAAATGGAACCATTTTAGTAGTCTATTGAGAACCATTTCATCTTCATATATTTCTTTCTTCCATGCAGGCTGGTCGGGTTGAGGTGCCCTTTCATTGTCATCATCGCAGTAAAGTGCATGACTCTCACATTAATTCAGTTCCGAGTCCTCGATCTGTCTTTGGTCCATTAAATGGCCATTTTCACAAGGTATGTGACTTTTTTTTTCTTAGAAGCTTTGAATCTTTTTTGTAACTGTCTATGCTTCCTTATATCATGAAGTTCTAGAGTTGTCAGGGACATAGTCCTATACAAATGTAGCATGTAGCGACACGAGACTCACCCCTTATATTAGGGGGACATAATTCTCCCAAAATATTCTTTATGCCATCTTAACTTCTTAACCCCTTTCATAGCGAAGTCACAGAGTTGTCTGGAACATGGACCTGTGCAATGTAGTAGGTGCAGGGATTCGAGATTCCCCCTTATATTGGAGGGATACAGTGCTCACAGAATGTTCTGAATATTGTGTCAACTGTCTTAACCCCTTATATGGAAAGTCATGGAGTTGTCTGGGACATGGTCCTTTACAATGTAGTATCCACTTATATTAGAGAAACTAGAGTTATGGGTGTATATTCCTATGCGATGGAATAGATGCAGGAAGACAAGATTTTAAGGGTAGACTCTTGCTGTCATCATTCTGCATAACTCTTCTTAATACTTTAATATTTTTGATATTGAAGACTCTTTAATATCCCTATTTCACAAAAAAAGACTCTTGATCTTAGTACTTAAACACATTGTCTTCCATTTTATATTTGTTTCTATTTTGCTGATCTAACTTTGTTGCATTTCTCTATGTTATGTAGCTAGAACCCTCGCTTCAGTTTTCCCACTCTGCTATGGAGGGGGCTACAAAGTGGGATCCAGTTGGCTGGACAACAGCGGTGGAAACAAATAAGGTATACGGCTATGAGAAGGTTCTTGATCAACAAGTGAATACTGCTTCAATGATTTCTTCCCTTGAGGCAGAACTAGAATGCGCTCGTGCCAGAGTTCATCAACTTGAGACAGAACGGCAGTCATCAAAAAAGAAACTCGAACAGTTTTTGAGGAAACTTAGTGAAGAAAAGGCAGCATGGCGAAGCAGAGATCATGAGAAAATTCGTTCAATTATGGATGACATGAGAGCTGACTTCTCCCGAGAGAGGAAAAACCGAAAGAGGCTGGAAATAGTCAATTCCAAATTAGTTAATGAGTTGGCTGATGCCAAGTTATCAGCAAAACGCTATCTGCAAAATTACGAGAAGGAAAGGCAGGCTAGAGGGTTGATAGAAGAAGTGTGCGATGAATTGGCCAAAGAACTTGGAGAAGACAAGGCTGAAGTTGAGGAATTGAAGAGGGAATCTCTGAAGTTCACAGAGGAAGTAGATGAAGAAAGAAAGATGTTGCAGATGGCTGAGGTTTGGCGTGAGGAGCGGGTTCAGATGAAACTAGTTGATGCTAAGGTGATGCTTGAAGAGAAGTATTCCCAGATGAAGAAACTAATTGGAGAGCTAGAATCATTTCTAAGTTCTAGAGGTAAGAGTTTGGATGTGGAGGAGATGAAAAGAGCCGAACAACTCCAACAGGCAGCTGCCTCTTTGAATATTCGTGATATTAGAGAACTCACGTATGAACCTTCAAATCCAGATGATATTTTCTCCATTTTCGAAGATGCTCATTTCGTTGAACCTGATGAAAGGGAGATCCAGCCATGTACTGCATATAGTCCTGCAAGCCATGCCTCCAAGCTTCGCACTCTCAGTCCTGATGGTGATGTTTACAACTTCGACAAACATTCTCATGCATATGTCAATCAGAATGATTATATAGAGGAAGAGGGAAGTGAGTGGGAAACAGTTACTCATCTTGAGGAGCAAGGCTCTAGTTATTCTCCTGAAGGAAGTATTTCATCCGTCAACAAGTATTGTCGGCACAGCAATGTATCAAGAAGTGGAGCAGGCTGGGAGAGATTTGGTGGTGATGGCACACCGGTTTCGGAAATTAGTGAAGTATGTTCCGGACCAGCTCAGCAACTTACAGAGGTGTCATCTGTATCTAGGTTTCGGAGATCATGCCCACGCAATGGAGACAAGTTCAAAATAAAATCACTAGAAGGAACTAATGGGAGGCTGTCAAACGGAAGGCTATCGAATGGGGCCATTCTTTCTCCACATCATGGTTCGAGTAAAGGCGGCTTTAGCCCTTCGGACCTAGGAAGCCAGTGGAGCTCACCTGACTCGAGCAATCCACGAATAGCACGCGGAATGAAAGGATGCATTGAATGGCCACATAACTCTCAGAAGAAAAGCTTAAAAGCAAAGTTATTGCAGGCAAGCACAGAGAGCCAGAAGGTCCAGTTGCGCCAGGTCTTGAAGCAGAAGATCTGAGAGAGAGTTCTGAATACCTGAACATGAGGCCTCCTGTCAGTAGGTGTATCAGTAAAACTAAAACAAAATTCAAATATTTTTCCGAGAATAGTCTGCTAACTGGAATTTGTTGGAGAATCATGTCTATGTATCGATAAATAACTTTGTCGTCAAAGCTATAAGAATTTACTGTAATTTCAACGGTGTATTATTTTGGTATTTCTTTAAGTTATGACTTGGGCCGTTTATTACCAATATACACCCTCCACAGAAGTTTCAGTAACAAAGAGAAACTTTGCGTAGTTGATTTTATACTTCTATGCCACACAAGAAGGAGTGACTTATGTGGTGTCTAATTTTTCGCGTGCACTGGATTATTGAAGGACCTAGTTCTTCTATGTGTTCCTTAAGCTACAATTGCAGAATAAATAATACAGAAAATAAAGAACACAAGTATTTTTACTTGGAAAATACCCGGCTCTAAAGGTGAAAAAACCCACGACCCACTTTCTAGTAATTTTCCCAATACTTCGCTACAACTCTGAGCCAAATAGCAATGTTTACGAACTCTTGCAAGCCTAAAGATTAACTCTAACCCTTGTAGCAACACGCCACAAGTTGTTGCGACTACTTCAAGTTAACTCTAACTTGAATGATACAATTCGAGTACCTAATACAATTACTTTGAAAAAAAGCTGAAAGGTACAACTCAAAAGCTCCTAGTACAATTGAACTAGAATGAAAGACAGACACCTGGAACTGATTCTTCAATTTGGTTTATGTAACTTCAGGTTCGCACTCTTGAAACTCACATGAGTTGCTCACAAGTTGCTTTGCTATTTTGCCCTCAATTCTTGCTTAACTTCAGTATGTGTGTGTCACCTGTAAAAGAGAATACAATTGATATATATATAGTTAGTAGGAATAGGATTAACTAGAAACCTGATGCTTTACTATTCCTTGGTGGAAGAGTTCTAGTTAACTTTAACTTCTAACCCTTTTCTTATATTGGATAGAGTTTTCTTCAGTAAGGAGTCCTGCTCCTTATCAAATATGCAATCTTTTTGCAGGGGCAGCTCGACGAATTTTGTGGCCTAAAGCCAAATCTATATGCTATATTAAAAGCACGAAGGCCCTTAGCGAAATGTTGTTCGTCTTTTTTACCCTTTAAAAATAAAGTTCATATTAGACAAAATAGCTATTCAACTTATTTTCCTAATAGTTAGGAATTAGTTCCTTATTTGAATTATGTATGAAGTCTTAATATTTAAGAGGTCAAAATCAATTAAGATTTTACCTTATTTAAATTATTTATATAATAGTAATCATTTCATATCTTTATATTAAAAGGAGAGTAGTGAAATATGTGATTAAGTCAAGTGACAAGCTAAAATGAAGCCACATGACAATTTTATGGAATCTATTTGTATAACAATGAAAAAATTTATTATTAGATATTCTTTTGGATTTAATTAATAATTTAAAAATATATCTATGAGGAATTGCATATTCTGTAACTTATAATTACCATATTTAGAGTATTATTATATGACAAATGATTTACTTTAAGTGACGAGTTAAAGTAAGTATTAATTAGGGAAAACAACGTATTCATGGTTTAATTAAGGAAATGAATATTCATGGTTTCCTTCCAAAGATAAAATAAAGTAAGCATTAATTAGATAACAGAATATAAGTACTACTAAACCAAGGCAGAATCAATAGTTCATATCTAACATCCCTTGATTTTGAAATATTATTTTTTATTTGTATTGTATCAAACTAATATATCTTTTATATTATTGCTTTAAGTAAAATT